AGGGGGGGGGGGAGAGAAAGAGAGAGACTAGACGGAAAGAAGATAAAAACGATTGCCGAGCGAAGATTAGAGAGACCTTCGCAGCCTAATTTGGTGAGATAAGAGCTGAGCTGAGTCGATATACTGGCTCTTTTTCGTTTCGTTACATACCGCCTATAGTATCCTCTCGAGGACAAGAATACACCGCGTAAGCTATCGGTGACGTGAGTGACCGGTGCTCAAGCCAGGTCCTAGCAAGGCAGTCCCACGGAGCGGCGGTAGCGTGGCCGTGAGACGACGCACGTTGCACAGGACGCTCGGCCCGGAGTGGAGGCGAGGAAGAGCCCGAATTTTGTAAGACCTCCCATTTGTTTGCGTGGTAGAAATTGTAAAGTCGTTGGACCGAGATTATCGCATGCGGAGTGGTCGCGCGAAGACCGTACATGAAATTTGAGTAGGGGCGAGGGATATCGCTTATCATATCGGTTCGTGCAGAACATTATAAACAGTACTCGAAGTGAGTGTACCGAGTACAATAAAGCTTACTACCACAAATCTGAGTCTTTTCTCGGCCTCCTGCCTTCTGACGATCAAACCTATCCCATCTCCGACTCAAATTAAAATAGAGTTACCGGTCCCGTTAAGTTTCCCAGATATCGACGGATAGCCTCTCACATCGTATTTTTGGTGATAACTAATTGGTGAGGAGGTGCGGCCTTACCGCATCTGGCGCCCAACTTCGAGTTTGCGAGTCTGAGTCGAAATCCGGGAACCGCGGTAATTTGCCGACGCGGCGGACAAGCGACTGGCCGCCTTAATCGTCAAGAAAAGTCGCACCACTTAAGGCAAGATTGCCAATTTTTTAACTAAAAAAGGCAAGATTAGGAACTGATTCGGCCAATAAAGGCGAAATTGGGAATTTTTCGGCCAGTCAAAGCAAGATTAAAAACTGATTCGGCCAATAAAGGCGAGATTGGGAATTTTAGTGATTTATGGGATAGCGTATGTATCACTGGCCGTAAAAGGGAGAATATTCAATTTGCTATATATTGACGAAAAAAATCATATCAGAGCACTCCAAATTGCATTTTGTAGGTAAAGGTCCATAGTTTTCGATGCTGTCATGAAAATTATGAAAAAAATTGTCAGCCAAATTTTCTTTCCACGAAGTTTAAACTTAATCAAAGACCAAACGTTTTCAATAGGATTTGCTTCCGGTGACTGTGACGATCAATCCAGTAATTCAACATTATTTTTTTATTTCCACGCAGTACAAAGGCGACTTCGATGTTTAGGATCATTGTCCTCTTGTAGTATTCATTTTTTGTTTTTTCTTATAAACCATATTTGAGCAGATAGTAATAAAGCCTTCTCATAAATTTTTGTCACTTTGCTAGCGTTTAAGTTATTTATGAAGATATATAAAATGCCAAATCCTTGCGTAGAGCCACGTTTTGGTAAGTCATCGACATTTTTCACCTCTAAATAGCGATTTACTCACTTATTTATAAATGCCTTTGATTTTCTTATATACTTAGCAACCGCTTGGCGTGACATTTTTGGTCCTTTTGGATGTATACAAAGAGATACGACTTCGAAACGTGATGTGTATTTGGCTCTTATGGCAAAATATATATTTTTATCACGAAGATCGAATGACAACTAAAGCTTATCTATAAATCATTCTAGGCGAAAGGTCTCTCTACTGGCTCCTGTTTGAGTTTCCCATCTACCTGTTTATATGTAAAAGTTTTGCCGGACACGCTCTTATCATACAGAGTATATAATACCTAGGCTACAGGTTTGCAACGTTTCCCAGTGTCTGAACGCGTCAAACAATATAAAGAAATAATATTCTTTCGGTAAAAAGTCTGTCTCTTTCTAACGAAGGCAGCTTTATTCCCGTCACAAGACCACGATAAGTGGTAGGAATAAAACAGCCTTCGTTAGAAAGTGACAAACTTTTTATCGAAAGAATGCTATTTCTTTATATTGTTTGACGCGTGTAGATAATGGGAAACGTTGTGGCCTAAGTATTATACATCTATGATCCCCTCCCATCATAAGATTAGGAATCACGAGATTATTAATAATTATGTAATATTTAAAAAGTTGGGTGTAGTCCCGAAAAGTACTCACCCTCTATTTTTTTGAAACTCAATATTCTTACGTATTTTGACGCGCTGATTACAAATATTATAGTGAAAATGGGCAACTACTTGATTTTCATGGTAAAAATCATGAAAAACCCATAAAAATTATAGTTTTTTTATGTTTATCTCAGTAAATACAAAAAATCATGATAAATGTTTTAGACAAAAGCTTTAGATCTTACAGAGATAAACATTTTAGGTTGTATATATTTTCATCGTACGAATAATAGTGTTGCATAATAATAATACTGTTGCAACTTTTATAGTCTATATATGATTTGTTGTAGTTCTAACAGTAAATGCAACAACTTTATTTTTATTTTTTAGTCATCAACAATTTATCTAATTGTTTAAATGAGACTATAAGATCTCAAACGATGTCGAAAGAAAAAAGAAAAGTCCTTTAGAGCGATTTTTGTGAAAAACACGCTTTAAAAACCATATTGATAACGTAGACAGTTTAATAGAAGAGTATTCCAATGTGTAACGACCCGGGGGCACGGGTTCTCGTTATCCGATCGAGCAACAGTTTGACAGGGATTTTCTTTTTGTCAAATGGAAACTTTTTGAAGGGTGTCGCGGAAAAAATTTGATAGTCGAAAAATAAGGACCACCCTAATATACAGAGTGTTGTACTTATATACAGGTCAGTACGACGGGTTGCCTCATCGGCAGGCGCGCTTTCTTTCCTATGAAGTTTACTGCGTTTAATTGCGCGCGTGACAATTTCGCAAAGGTTTACTATGACACCGTATGCGCGCTTGCCGTAACCTGTCGTACTGACCTGTATGTAAGTGCAACACCCTATTAGTGCATATTAGTGCACGGAAAAAAGTAATTTGCTGCAGCAGCAAACTAATTTGCTACATATGGACAGTTATATAATTCGCTGTGTTAACTACTTTTTTTGCTGCAGGAACCTATTTTCTTGCTATGATAACAAGAAAATCTACAGCAAGTTCCTATAGCAAGAAAAGTGGCTAACGTAGCAAATTTGAAAGATAACTAAACATAATTTACTGCTTTAGCTACTTTCTTGTTGCAGCAGTAAATTTTCTTGCTATAATAGTAAGAAAATTAGCTCCTGCAGCAAAAAAAAAATGGCTAATACAGCAAATTATGTTTAGTTGTCCAAATGTAGCAGATCTTTTTTTTGTGTATTAGCGTGTATTAGTAATGATTAGTACCCGATAAAGCGTTGATATTATATATTACCGCTAAGTTATTCTTGTTTGTCATTTTTTGAGTTTTTCCTTGCAATGCCGGACTATTCTATACAGATACATAGCCAGTTATTTGCTAGTGATGGCCCGGTATTGACTGACAAAACCTGAATCGACATATGTTGTTAATCATCGGCCAAGCTTTGGGCTTCTTTGTAACGACGGACTGTTAATAATAAAGAGGAAATGGATATAGATGAATTGTCAAGTGAAAGCAGATATAAGGAAAATCAAATAAGTATTATTGTTTGGACTTCAGACTGCGTCGCATAAGCCGTACAGCGCGCAATATGCACGGCACTGTTACACTACTGCATTATTCACTCGTACACTCACACACTAATAAAATATTTGTATTAGATGGTAGACATAAAAAAAAATTTGTACGCAATAGTGTTATTCTTTCCGAGGAAAAAAAGCAATAATTTAGTGGATCTAGTATCATCTTTTTGTGGATTGTCAATAAAAAACAAAATATATTATTTGTATTCTAATGCAGAACATTAGGCAAAATTACTAGAATGGGTATCTTTTCGGAAAGAATACGATGAAAAATAGTAGTATTTTAAAACCGAGATAATAAGTTACGCATGTAATTAATAGATATGTGATGTTAAAACTATACATTACATTTGCAGGGGAAAGATATTATATAATAATTGAAATAAATCAATTGTGCAGATAACGTAAAGGAAAGAAAGTGGAGATTGAACAGAAAACTTTTCAAACAACAGGAATTCAAAGTACCACAGATTATGACAATATGTCTGGAAATCTTTACAGAAAAGTATTACTGATTGATTAGTAATAAATTACTATTGCTCAGTGGTTTTATTAGTGGTGGCAAATAATCTTGAGTATTTAAATTACAGGGTTATTAATGCTAGAGTAACTCAGTAATTATGGCGATAACGATAATCACTAATGTATTATTAGTTTCTTCTAATGAAGTACTGGTGTAAATTATTTCCTAATAACAAAATGGATAAGCATTAATTTTCTTATGATTAGTATAAAAGATGTTTCACATTTTTCAAACTAATTTATTGTTTGTCGTAGTTCGTTATAATGTTTAATTGAAAATCTAAGAGCAATTATATGGTTAATGGATATACATTATTTGCTGATATACATTATAATAATACCAGTTATATTTCGATTGTCGTTGCGTTGTTAGTATTATTTGTCAGTAAATATACCATTAAATGTGAATATATTTGAACATATTATAATATAATACAAGAGCATATTATAATTATAATTCAATAAAGTATCGTCATTGCTTATTTTAATTAAATTATTTAGGTTAGATAGTGGATAACGGAATGGATATGAGAAAG